CCATGACATGGATCCCATTTTGTTTCCATGTCAGTTGAAAGGATTCTTGCTGGCCCTTTCTCTCTTTACCACCTAAAATTCTACTTCAAAGAAAAGCACAATTCTACAGCTTCTTCCACACAATGATTTCACCATGTTTTACAGGTAGTAAGCTAAGTGTTCAAGGTTTAAGGGATTGTCTCCTTACTACAAATGGCTAAATTGGGATTCTGCAAAATTAAGTGGCTTGCACATGTAATAGGACCAGGTACACAATATCTGCCTTTCTGGTCTTGTGATCTCCCAGACACCTGTATACCATGCTAGTAGATAGTTGTTTTGGAAAGTTATAGCAGTGATAGTTCAGGAAATATGTGACAAGCAATGGGCATTTTGTTAATATCTTATATTTGATATCATTTATTCTTTTGTAGATGATAACTCTATACAAATGGTGCAATAAAAGATATCAGCCTTTCATCTACCACTGTATATCTGGCCCTGAGCACAGACACATTATTCCTCTACTTTCTTTTGTATTCTGCAAAGTACATGGCAAGTTCCAGACAGAGTAATTCTCTCTATAATGTCTGAGAAACAAACAGTCATCAAACTATCATCTCAGAACCTGGAACACTCAGCTCACTGAAGAGTTGCCATAAAAATCACCCTGCAGCACAAACTGAATATACCAGGCTACCCACTAAGCCTCAATCATTTCCCCACCAGCTAAAAGCCATCTGGGCACACTGTGAGAAAGGGTTTGCTTTGACTTCTAACACTGAAGATTGGTGCTGTTTATAGTTCAACTTGCAATCATAATTAAAAATCAGCACCTGAACCTTCAAACTTGCCTTGTGTGTCTGAATGGCCACCACTTTTGGGAGACATTTTGTTTTTCTTCTTTCATTATATTTTGAATTCAATCTGGGTTTATTGAGAGAGGCCAAATGAACATGTCAAATCCATATATATCTACCAACATCACTTCTCTCTGGGCGCAGACAGGAGTTACATGTCGTGCAATTTGCCTCCTGAAAGCACTCTACAGCCATGCCCTGACAGAAATGCATGGCTGCAGATGGCTTTAAAAGTGCCCAATCACACTACAATCTGAAGCTTCATTACATGAAGGTGCTCCAAAGCAGACTGCTTTCATTAACTTCTGTCAGTGTGCACCAGGAGAAGGGCAAGGGAGGAGGGAGCTCCATCAGGGGGTTGCCCACACTGCACTGGACAATGGAGCAGGTGGACTGGAGCCCCCCTCCCTCCCTTGGGTGGGAGTGGGCCCAATAAACCTGCCCCGCCCTCCAGCACAGGCTGGGCAAACCCCAAAGGGAACTCCTTCCCCTCCCTTCTCCCCCTCCCATTCTGAATATAGCACTGGAACTGCGGGGGGAGGGGAAGGGAGGAGGGGTGAACAGGGCTAGGGGAGATTAGCTGTAGACATGCAGCTGGTTCAAACTGGAGCTTGATCCCTCAGCTCCCCAGACCCAACAGTGAACATCTGCTGGGCCAGGGGGGATACTGTACCTCATGGTGCTTCCTGTAAAGCACCATGAGTTACAGGGGGGGAGATGCACTTCTGTCAGTGCCCTCTGTGAAGAACAAATGAACCTGGGGGTGTTTTCAGAAACCTACTGAACCTGAAAGTGGTCTGTTCACCATTGAAATTATACTTATGTCAAACTATGAATGCATATTATAAACAGACACCATTTAAAGATGACTCCCAGCAACCCTGGGAGAGATTCCACCGAGAACACTATGGCGCTGTCTAGAGGATATTTACCTTAAACAGAGCCCTCTTTTCATAGCAAACCTTTTAATGAAGTAACTTATTTCAGGAGAATCCAGTCAGAATCCCCAATTCCATCCCCAGCTCCCCAATACTTTCTCTGCAGAAAGCACAATTACTGAATAATGTATAATTTATAATTTAAGTACTTAGTGCATAAATACTTCTAAATATTTATATATGCCCAGAGAATCAACTCTTAAGCACTGGATTTTACCCAGTGACCTACTCTTTCATTTGAAAGGACTAACTAGCATGTGCATGGCCTATAACTTCCTCAAACCACTACACAAATCTATTAATTAAGGAAAGTAAGTGATGGCTGAACAACAAATTTCAGGCATCTACATGCATTTGTTTGCTTTGTAAATCAGACTAAGTCTCCCAGAACGGGTCCCATCTACCCATCACACCCGTATCCAGAAGCAGACAGCCTTGTATGTCTGTGTCTAACCATCAGATAGTTGCCCATACTGCTCCATGTTCTATACTTTCATCTCTAAGCCCATCAGAGGAATAAGTTGACTTAAATAATCCTATCTATGAGAAACAAAGACAGCTACCTTGAAGGTGTTGTTTAATATTGGAATTTACCTTTTTAGGACTTGCAGTTTTTAATATTGCTGACAAGCACTAAAGATAGGTAAAACCTTCTTACCAGCTGGATCTCATATTTTTGAGTGACAAGGATAAAATTCATCTGTGGCATAATTCCAATGATTTCAAATATATTACACAGGAGATGAATTTGATCCCCGGTCATCAGACACTAAACTGCAAAATGTTTAAGTTCCGCTACTGAAAATATCAGGCTTAACCTCCAAGCTCACACAGCGATGGTTAAAGGCTGGTTTTAACATCCAGTTCACAAAGCAATGGAAAATTAGATCCTCTGAAGGAGAATAAGTAGCTTTGTATTCTTAAATCTTGGAATGATTCTAGAAATGTGCAGAAGATCTTGAATCACACCACAGATTTTGATCCCTCCATAGTAGCACTGTCAGGTAAATCTCCTGTCTCCTCTGTTAAGTTGGTATGAGTTTTGAAACTATTGAGACACTCTAGGGTACTGCCAATGTCTCCTTTGAATGATCGGGGCACTGATATTGCTAACTATCACAGTGCTATTAGCTGAGATAAGGATTTAAGCAATGGCTATAGCAGAGTCACTGCATTTCAGAGTGCTCTCTTATTACTGGGACCCTCAATAGGACTTTGTCTTCAGAAAATTCCATAACTGGCCAAAGCATGAATGGTTCATGTGGTGAAAAGGATTCACTGAACCATACAAGCCATTTGGCAATGTCCAGAGCTTTGTCCTAATTAAAATGGAACCAGAAGGCCTGGAGTGAAGGGAAGCTTTAGAAGGTCCAAACAGGTAATGAATGTATTCAGTGGTGCTCTTCCCCATGCAGGCCTTAATCAACTTTATTGGAAAATGTCACTTTGACTGCCATGCTGGAGCTGAGGACTAAAGGTAATTTTTTACACTTTGAAACTTCCCTATAGCCCTCTGGCTCTGGTGCATGGGGGGTTGCAAAACATTTTGAATGTGCTGAGGTCTTGCTATGGGACTTACTCAGTAAGGCATGCATTGAAACAAGTGGCTCCAATGCAGGGTCACAAGTCCCAACAGGAATATCACTTCCCAGAATTGCACCTTCACAGCCTTCCAGGCTGAGTCGACCAGACTTACAGGATGTTTTGGAAGAAGTCAGTCAAAGCATGATGCACTTTCCATAGGCTATGGTGACCATGAGGCAATATCTGCAAACACAAGCATCATGGTCCATCTTGGGACATCATAAACAATCACTGTCACAAATTTTGTGTCTTTCTAATCAACTCATAAAGAATTGTCTGAACTTAATGGACTGATTCTGAGACCATATAATAAAAGGAGCTGCTTGCACAATCACATCAAGAACAAACTGTGAAAACAAAAGCCTTGGGGATATTGAGGGGTCCACCCCACATTCTCCAACATACGGTGTCTACCAACTTTTTCTTTTTTTCTTTTTTTACCCCCAGAAGCCCTTTATGCGTGTGGGGACATAGCAACTTTTTTTGCCTGAAGCTACAGCCAAACATGAGTCTCTTATCCATAAGTTTTTGTCCTTTGAATTTGATATGGTAACTAACAAAAAAACACCCCAAAAAAACAACTTGTGCAGTATGAAACTGAGTTTCAACAAAACAAGTACATTCATGAAAAGTTTCTATTTTCTTCAATTTTTTTTGGCCTTTTCTCCTTTAAAAATTTATTTTAAAAACTCAGTGTACAGTGGGAACTGTAATCAGCGAGTGTCTTATGCCCTCAGTTTCTGCTATAAGTTGGGCTCTACAGATAAACAGATTTGCCAAATGACACTATGAACACATGACTACTAAAAGGCAGTGTAGTTTTTCAACTGGAATGGAAAAAAACAAGCCACCTAAATAAGAGGTTTTGGGTTAAATTTCTTCAGTGTTCAGCTGAAAAGAAAAACTAATTTGACTTTTGATTTAAAAAAACAAAACAAAACAGAACCAAAAAACAGTCCAGAGCAGTCCAGTTATCATTTTAACAACAATGCACATGCTTCCCAATTGTGTCCCAATTTAGTAGGGGTGGGAGAAATGGCAAAAAATCATTTTCCAAACAGGTCTATCTCTTGTCCACTTTTAATAGAAAAGGAACTGAGCATTGAGATGGGATACAAATCCTAGCATCTCAGCAGCAGGGAGACAAGCATCCACTTTTGAAGAAGCCATTAAATAGATCAGACCTTTGGGCTCAAGATGTTCTGATGCCAGACTCACACAGGCAACACCTCTCTGACAAACCTCTCTATCAAGCATTTTTGTTTTCCATAATAAAAAAGTAGTTGCATTAAATATATAAAACAGTTGGGATTTGTCATCACTCTGCTGCTTCATAATGGAATGTGGAAATTTTGTGTTAAAAATATTTTGTTCTTAATCTTTGGCTATACACTTCTTCAACATTAATTATTAAAAATGAACCTGTATACTTGCACTGTGACAGAAGTGTAACAATTTCTTTCAAGATATGTTGGTACTCAGCAATACTTCAGTCACAATCATTTAGAAAAGCCCAGGTGCAAACCAAATTGCCTCTGAATGAGCTGTGTATGTAGTAATTAGAAATCTCATCACCACTCTGTATTTTCAGATTGACAGTAATAAAAACAGTGAATTAGTGTGCAGAAGGAAAACTTACTTCTTCTTCCTCTAAGCCTGTTAAATCCCAGAAGTAATTCAGTCTCATCTGTAAACGTTTCCATTGTTCAAGGAACATGGTGGCTTAAGGAAACAAACACAGTTAGATTTTAAACTATCATTTTAATTCCTTATCATTAGTTATTCATGCTGCAATATTACTGACAAGCCCAAGCTAATATCAGGGTCTCTCAGTCTTGGGCTGGGGAGACAGGGAAGGTGGGGGCTTCACAAATGCATGCTAAGAGATAATGCTTGCCACAAAGGGTGGACATTGTAAAAACACAGGGGGGAGGCAAAGGGGGCCTGGGTAGAAAGTGTCACTGTGGTTTTATAAAGAACAGAAAAAGTAAATGACTTGTCTAAACAAGCTGTGCCTACGCCAGGGACTAAGCCCAGGTATACTTATTTCCAGCCCAAGTTCTTCACTATGAGGCCATATCAGTGTACAGACTCTTCATAGTTGTTAGGGGCTGGAAGGGACCTGACAGTTCATCAGGTCCAGGCCCCCTGCACTTGGGCAAAAAGACTGCTGGGATCACCTGACCCCAGCAAGATGGGCATCAAGACACTTTTTGAAGATCACCAGAGTGAATGACTGTACCACCTATGGGAGGAGCCTGTTCCAAACCCTTGGCACTCAACTTGTAAAGAAGTTTTTTCTTATATCTAGCCTGAAGTGATCTTCAATCCATTTGTGCCCATTACTTCTCGTCCTCCCTCGGGGGGCCTTGGTGAATAGATTTGTCTCAGCACTCTGGAGTTTATGGACACAAAACATAGTAACCTAGTGAACCAATGTCCAAATCTAACGCTGAACTACAATGGCACTAACTAGCCAAGTAACAAAAACTAAATATTCCTTTTCAGTCAGAAATATACAAAGCAGCAGCAATGGACTATTATTGAAAGAAGCCCTAAAAAACTATAAGCAATGTGACAGGTGATTAAGATGACTTGCTCCAAAGGAATGAATTTAAACCTTTCTCCAGATTTGTGTTGAAAGCTGCCCTTGGCCAACCTAGCTGTAAATAATTATATGGCTATTCAGGCTGGGAAGTCAAAGGTATCTGGACATGCAGCTAGCTACATCATTCCCTTGTGTGCTATTGCCTTTAGTGTCAATGGGGCACTGAAGTGCATACGCCACACTACCCCAATGGGGTGCTGTGCTTGGGATAAGCCTTTGCCTTTTTTTATGACCTATAGTTAAACTGAAAAGATCAGCTGTAGTCAGCAAATACACCATTATGATGATTTTGCCTGATACTCTGGAATCTCTCTCAGTGGGGTAGCTGATTTTTTTTAATCAATTAAATCAAACAGTTGGCAGTTTTAGGCTTGCTTAGAGTGATTTCCCTGAGAGACAGGTCACAAATACAGTCTCCCACTTTCTTTTTCTTTCCCTTGACACTATAGTAAGAGTTGTGCTACACCATCATATTTAGGTTCTCCTTGTTCTCTCCCCATAATTGCCACTTCCTCTTGTCAGCCTGCCTCCTTTTGCTCTTGCCGTGCTGACAAAGCTTCAGGAACAGGAATTCCAATCCAAAAGCTGAAGGTCTGACTCTCTACCAGCCTGTACCCTAAGTCATCCTTTCAATCTGTGCCAAGGGGTTATAAAAATGTTG